AAGTAGTTTGAGATCTTATGGGGCTTAAGTGAACAGTGTTGCCAGTCTTTAAAAACAGGCTACCGTATAAGCCCGAGTGGATCGGGGCTCTCCGGCACAAGGGGTTGGAGACTGCTGGGGTGTCCTGATCTTTACAGCGAGCATTACCATCAGCTAGTTCTTCAAAGCTTTACCAGCTCGATTAAAAGCAGTGTGCTCAGTTATGGGCTACTGTATAATGTAGAAAATCTGCATTTCCCTCATTAATTAGACTTCATATTTAAGCAAATGTTATGGCTTTTAGTTTCATAGTGAAATGCTTGGATATTTCTATGCATTTTTGGAAAATTAGAAAAAGAACTTAATGCACAGAAATGTCTCTCTTTCTAATTTGCCTTACAGACAGGAGTTTTCTTCAAGCGTGACTTCTGTGGTATCTTGGAAAAAAAAACGTTCTCTTATTTAACATAGAGGTAAGCTGCTGTCTGTACAGGATGCAGCAGTTCCAATGTCACACAGGGAGCAGCAGATTTAAGACGTGATTCCCTGACGTGAGTTCATTCTTGGGTTCACCATGTATCCCAGGTGAAAGCCCAGGAAAGCAGGCATCACTCTGTATGCCCTGCTGGGACAACCAGTTACACGACCAACAGAGGATGGGGGGAACGTCATTCAGCATAGAGAAAAGAAGCCAACACAAGAGGAAACAATTTCATTTCCCTCCGCAGTGTCAACAGAGCTACTGAGCGAGGTCTTGTTTGGGACTTTCAGGATCGCTGGCGCTTCAGCACAGGGGAGCACATAAGACACACGGCTTTTTCCTGTTCCTGTTCTCGGCTGAGCACAGATGGACAGCGACAGAGGTACAGATGGCTGGTGATGTGCCTCGGTGCCAGACGGGGTTGCAAAGATCCGGAACAATCTTCACACGAGCCAGGGAAGAGAGCAGATGTACTGTAGGACCTGTGCTGCAGAGTCGCCCCCGTTTCCCCCTTAAGAGCTCTCCTGGCAATCGGGGGCTCTTCGGGGAAAGAGCTGGGAGAGGCTGGTAGCCCTGTCTAGTCTGTTTGTGACTC